GAACCAAAACTGGGGAAGGAAAATTGATGAAAATCTCCAAGGACCAAACCTCAAGGAAATGCACCTGAAATCATGGTGTAGAAGCCATAAAACAATCCATGTCAGAAGATAGGAAAATGGATATTTTTTTGTGAGTAGTATCATAATGCACACAGAATTAGACTATAAAATTTAAATATATAGAGATAACTGATTTCATTTCTTTTGGACAAATGCCCACAAGTGAGATTGCTGGGTCATAAAATTCCCTATGGATTATTCAGGGGCATTTTTATTTCTATTTTTATTCCTTTACCCCTTATTTTATTGTAAAAATTAAGATCTCCAGTACAATGTGGCAGAAGTATGCATCCTTGATATTTCTTTTTCTCATTCTGAGGTGGAAAATCAATAAAATGTCCTCTATAAATCTCTGTAGATTCCCTTTAGTAGTTCAGGAAATTCTCTACTGTTGCTGTCTGTGTAATTGTTATCATGACTCAGTGCATTTGTCCAGTGCTTTCCCTCTGTCTATTGAATTAGTCATATCTTCCAATTTTCTTGTTAGTGATTTTATAAAGATGTTTTAACTACAGTAAAATCTATAAAGCTTTAAATTTGTTGTTGAAGCATGTCTTTGTGTACAGACCAGTGGCCCTGAGTACATTCACACCAATATTCTGTCACCACCACTTACCATCCCTTGAGTCACCAACTGAAGCTCTATATGCATAAAATAACAATAACCTAGTTCCATATCTTTATGGCACTTGGCAACCTTTTTTTTTTTCAATCTATGAATTTTCCCATCCAACATGTTTCAGGAAAGTAGAATTATATGTGTCCCTTTAGGTTTGGCTATTTCACTTGGCATCGTGAATTCATCTTGTAACATGTGTCAGACTTTCCTCCCATTTTAATGTTAATAGCATTCCATTCTATGCACAGATCACACTTTAGCCACCATTCATCTTGTGGTCTATACACATGGTACGTCTCCGATGTTGAGGGTTACAGGCACATGTGGTCCTGCCCAGCTTTTATGTGTGTATTGAATAGGCTTACACATCAAGTGCTCTTGCCCACTGAGAAATCTCTCCAACCCTTTGCAGCCATTTTCAATGTGACTTTTTGATTGATTTGACTTGTTACAAATGCTTGGTTTCCATGGCTCTTATGATGCTCAGTCTATGGCTGGCTCTACATTGGATATTTATGGTAGAACAGGAGCTTGGAACTTCCTCTTTATTTTCCCCTGTGCATGTGTGCGTGTGTGTGCATGCGTGTGTGTACACCCATTTTGCTATACACACACACACACACACACGCATGCATGCACGAACACACACACTGGTTTTCCTAACATTTTCACACCTCTATATCTTTGCACGTTACTTTGCTCCTCATGGTAATGTTTATGCCTCTATTTTCTACACTCACTGACTCACTAGGCAGCCCAGACTGGCCTGCAAACTTGGGATCCTCCTGCCTCTGCTTCCTGAGTGCTGAGATCACAGATGTATGCCACTGTGCCTGGCTTCATTGATTTCTTCCTCTGTCATCTACAGTTGGCCAGTGAATCCCTTCAGTGAATTCGTTTTTCAGGTTTTTCCATTTGAGATTTTCTACTTGGCTTTATTTTTAATCAGCTGAAAGTCCATATGTAGACAAGTGTGGTTTTCCTGGCCTTCTGCAAACATCTAGAAGATCAGCTTTGTCTATGTGTTCAGTAATCTTAGGATTGACACACCTCATTCTTTTCATTGAGACTAGTCAAACTTTCACATGCCCAATGAGTCAGCCCATGTCATGGACACTGTGACTATAGCATTGCACAGCCGTGTTGGGTCTTGTTACACTCATTTGGAGGATTGCTTTAGCAAGTAACCAACTTGGTTTGATTCAGACAAGTAGCTCATTCTTGATTTCCTTGAGTGATAGTGACAATACCACTTTGATTTTCCAAGCCTTTGCTACATTTGATTGCTGTTGCCATGTTCACGAATCTGAGACTTGGCATTTCAAGCCCAGAATTAAGGAAAGTTCTTTTTTTAAAAAACAAAAAACAGTAGATTCCCCTCTGGCAATGGCAAAGATGCACCTTATTGGTGATGCTGTTCTTGTATCAGTCAGGGCAGAGCAGATGAAAGTCCTATGTACATCTTAGCTTGATGTCTGGCTTGATGGCTATGGTGGTTTGAATAGGTTTGGCCTCCATAGATTTACGTGTTTGAATGCTTGGCCCATGGGTGAGTGGCACTATTAGAAGGTATGTCTTTATTGGAGTAGGTATGGCTTTTGGAAGAAGTGTGTCATTGTTGGTGCAGGCTCTGAAGACTCCTATGCTCAAACTCCACCCAGTGTGGAATCCAGTCTTCTCTTAGCTGCCTGTAGATCAAGATGGAGAACTCTCAACTTCTTCTCTAGCATCATGTCTGTCTGGATGCTGCCATGCTTTCTGATATGATAATGATAATGGCAGAAACCTATGAAACTGTAAGCCAGTCACAATTAAATGTTTTGTTTTGCTTTGTTTTTGTTTGTTTTTATGAGTTGCCTTGGTCATGGTGTCTCTTCACAGCAAGGACACCTTAAGATAGTAGTCAAAGCCATTTTTTTTTTACCTAGGACACATAAAAATCAAATCAAATCTAAGCAGTATAGCATGGGAAGAGGACGACAGAGATCTTTGATCTGCCATGCCACAAGGTGCATAGGGAAAGACATCCACAGACTTGCACTCCACTGCTGGGTAGACCAGGCAGGCCATAGGCACATAAAGCCACGCCTACCACCAGGCAGCACATCATAAGAGGAGGAAGGCAGAGACCTGCATGACACCCATAGACCTGCCCTCCAAAACACAGCACAGGCAGGCCACAGTTACCCGCTTGCCGCCATGCTTCCTGACGAGATGATAATTAAACTATTAAGCCGCCCTAATTAAATGTTGTCTTTATAAGAATTGCTTGGTCATGATGTCATTTCACAACAGTAAATCCCTAAGACAGTTTGTATGTTTTTAACTTGGGGGGGAAGGTTGCAAGGGAAAGGGACAGATATGAGGGAACCGGGAGATGAGCGGGACTGGGGTGCACAATGTGAAACTCACAAAGACCCAATAAAAATTTTTTAAAAACAGACATTTTTCCCCTTCTGTGTATGGATGGCTAGCCTACATGAATATCTGTGAATCACCTGTGTGACTGCTTGGATGCTCGGGAGCTGACATCACAGAACTTGACAACACAGATAGGTGTGAGCTGCCACACAGCTGATGGGAATTGAACCTGGGTACTTGGGAAGAAGAGTCAGCCAGTGCTCTTAATCACAGAACCATCTCTCCAACCCTTCCTGATCTACTCCCAATTTAAAGATCCTCATCTTGTGTCTTTCCATATTTTCTACAGAGATTTTGGCTGTAGTGAAGAGGAGGTTTGGACAATAGTTGGCTTCTGGGGTGTGGCAGTACCGGATTCTGCCTGGGTTTTTAAGTGAATTTTTTGGCACTTCAGAGTCATTTCACTCTAGATAAGCTCCACTCTCTCAGTGTTATAACCTCAACCTGTGAAAACAGCAGCATCAATCTCATCCTTAATCTATGACATCACTTTCAAGGGATAAAATACGATGGACACAGGCACTAGTAACTTGTCAATAAACATTAATGGTTACGTCTGTTCACATCCATAAAACTGAACACTGTGTACTAATAATAATGGGATAAAAATTAAGGCAGAAAAACGTACAGGTTTTAATATGTTAGCTACTGAGAAACTTGTGAATGAAAAAAATTAATGGCATTTAACTATTTTACATCTTTTTGAGATAATATAATTACATTATTTTTCCTTTTCTTTCTCCCTTTAAAACCCGCCTTCTACTCTTCTACTCTTTTTCAAATTCAAATTCATGGCACATATATATATATGTATATGTATATATACATATATATATATATATGTATGTATGTATATACACACACACACACACACACACACACATATATAATTTTAGACATATTTAAGCACAGCACAATTTGGAAAAAAAATTCCTGGTGATAAATAGCACAATCCTGTGTGCATAGTAAAGTTTAAGACATGACTACACCAAAACTCTTTGTACAAGTGACATCTTCCATAAAGATAGATTCTGTAGACAGACTGAAACAATCAACCTCAAGGAAAAGGTTTGGGGAAGATCAAGTGTGGCCTAGGCTGCACAGATAGTTCAAGGGTCACCAGGCATTAAAGATGTCAACTCTCAGCCTTCTGGGCAGATTATAGATCTCTTTCTTTGAAATGACAACCATGTGTGTTTAACATTCCTGGTTCCCCTAATCCTTATTCCTGAGCACAAGAACCTACAGGCCTCTTACAGTGATATTTATATATTCCTAAATACATGTTTTATGTACATGTTTTCAGGGCTGACCATTTGGTAATAGATAACGAATTGGCTTGCTCTTCCTTGGGGAAGACTATCTCTCCCTTTTGGCTTTCCTTAGTTGCCTGTAGTTCTTTGTCTAGGATTGAGACCTCCTGGGCTTCCCCTTACACCTTAGTATGTCTGTGGTCATCCTTGTTCAGAGTTTTAGGCAGCCACGTTAGTGAGACTTCATGGGTTTATGTAGCTTCTGACATTTCTAGAAGAGACAATCTCACAGAAAATTCCCTGTTCCTCTGGCTCTTACAAGCTTTCTACCCGCGAAACCCCAAGCCTTAGCAAGAGCTGGGTTGTAAATGCATCTGTTGGGACAGGGCTCCACAACACTGCATTTTTTAAACAATCAGTTGTGGTTTTCTATAATGGTCTTCACCAGAAAAAGCATTTAAAAAAGCAAAATACCGATTTTGTAGGCTTCAGAAAGCTCATCAAAGGCCTTGCCAAGTTAGAACATTGTTCTCCCATGAAATGATGCACTTTCCCTTCTTGCCTCTTGAGTATGTTGGGGTGTATGTTGGGGAAAGGGTGGCAATGACTATTCTTATTTGTTTTCCTCTCATTTTCTCCCTTGCCAGGTGGACCAAAAAGAATTTGCAACCCACGGAGGACCTCAAATCAGTCATTCAAAGACTGACAGCACTTGGCCCAATCATCTCAGTCACTCCTTGTGGACGACAAAGTGCTGTCGTGGTGTTCAGAGATGTCACCTCTGCTTGTAAGGCTGTGAGTGCTTTTCAGTCCATGTCGGGAGGCTCAATGTTCCAGTGCTCATGGCAGCATCGATTCATGACAAAAAATGTAAGACTTCTTATTGCCAAAAAAACTAAGTTTTTTCAGATTATAATTATATAATTTTCCCCTCCCTTTCCTCTTTCTAATCCCTCCCTTACATTGCTTCTCATCCCTCTCAAATTCATGACCTCTTTTTGTTTTTGTTTTTGCACACTATATATATATATATATATATATATATATATATATATATATATATAACATTATATAATATATACACATACATCATATATATACAATATATACTGTTCGTGTATATATATTTGTGTGTGTGTAAACACATAAATGCAACCTCCTCAGTCTGTATAATGTTCCTCATATGTGTATGATATTAGGGCTGAGTTCTTGATATTGGATAACCAATTGGGAAGACCCACTCTCAACGATTCCCAGTTGTCTTTAGTTCTGTCTAAGGCTGAGGCTCGTAAGTCTTTCCCCTTCCATCTTAGCATGCCCATTGGTGTTCGGGGCTTGTTTAGGCAGCCATGTTGATGAACTGACATGGACGTAGCCTCTTTGACACTTCTAGGAGACACACGCTCACAGCCAATTTCCTTTTCCTCTGCTTTTTACAATCTTTCCAACTCCCCCACCCCCTGCTCTTCTGCAATTATTCATGAGCTTTAGATACAGGAATTGTTTTGTGGATGTATCACTTCAGCAATAGAGACTTAGTATTGGTATCACATGGCCTCTTGCTCTCTACATTTTGAACAATTCTGGTTTTCAGTGATTGGTGTCTGTCTGTTGCAAAGAGAATGGTCTTTGATGATGTGTGAGAACTACAATTATTTGTGAGTATAAGGGTAAATATTTAGAATGTACTTAGGAGTTACTCTGCTTAATAACATGGCAATTGTAGGTTCACCTCTAAGATCCATGGCTTCACTAGCCTTGGGTAGATAGTATTTCCTAGTACCCATCATGTTTTTTCTCTTGTTAAATGGGTCTTCAGTCTAATTAGAGAGCTGTTGAATACTGCCAAAGTATGTGTACAACTATTGTACTCCTGGTGTTATTATGCAAGGCTAGTCATTGTTAAGGTTCATATGCATCCACAGCTAGGTAGACATCATGTTTCCTCCTCTCCCTTGGAAGCTTTCATGGCACCTTTTGGTACCATGAAAGTTAGTCTTCATGGAGACAACTTTCAGATCATATGTAGCTTGGGTCTTCTGGGCCCTGTGTTTGAAGTACATGGTGTCTTTAACAGTAGGGAATCATCCTTCAACTTCTGGGGAAAACCAAGGGCAACCACATGTATGAAATGTTAATGGTATATTATTATCACTCCTTATGACCTTTCAGACATGCTTACTATTATTTTACCCTCCTCTCTTGTCACTGTCCTCCATCCCTTCCTAATCAGAGCCCTTCATTTTCCGTTTCTCCATTCAAATCATGTGTACCTTATATGCTCCTACTGGGCCCCCGGTGTTCCCCTTTTACTTTCCTGGTTTCTATAGTTACTCCAGGTTATATACTCACATCTGAAAACTTGAAGCTAGGAACCACATGTGATATCTATGTCTCTAGGTCTGGGTTTTGCCTGCAAAGTTCATGATTTTATTTTTCTTTGTGGCTGAATAGCATTCCATAGTATGCATGTGCCATATTTTAATTATCCACTGCTAATTGAAGAACATATAGATTGTTTTGTGGTTTAAATGGGAATGGCCCTCCAAGGATTCATATATTTGAATGCTTGGTCCACATTTGGTGGAACTATTTTGAAAGGATTAAGAGGTGACACCTTGTTGGAAGATTTGAAAAGCCTATGACAGGTTCAATACCACACCCCTCTCTCTAACTTGCAGACCAGGGTATAAGCTCTTAGCTACTGCTACAGTGTAATGCCTGTCTATCTGCTGTCATGCTCCCTATCATGGTGACTATGGAGTCACCCTCTGAAACACTAAGCAAGCTCCCAATTAAATGCTTTCTTTTAGACACTGCCTTGGTCGTGGTTGTCTCTTCACAGCAATAGAAAAGTAGCTGTGACGGGTTGTTTCCATTTCCCAGCCACTGTGAATAGGGCAGCAATGAACATGGCTGAGTATCTGTGCAATAGGATATGGAGACCTTTGGGCATTTGCTGAGGAGTGGTAAAGCTGAGTCATATGGTAGCTTTATTAGTCTTCTGAGGGCTCTCCACACTGATTTCCAGATGGTTTGAAATAGTTTTTTGAGGTCCCATTTGTCAACTGTTGGCCTCAATTACTGGGCAAATGGGGTCTTATTCAGAAAGTCCTTCCCTATGCCTATGTCATCTATAGCACTACCTGTGTTCTCTTCCAGCATTCTCAGTGTTCCAGGATCCAGTCTTTGGTCCATTTGGTGTCAGTTTTTATGAAAGGTGATAGGTACAGGTCTAATTTCATTCTTCTCCAAGTGGTCATCCAGGCTTTCCAGCTCCATTTGTTGAAGATGCTGTCTTTTCTCAAGTGTATGTTTTTGGCACATTTGTCAAATATTAGCAGGCTATAGTTACATGTACTCATGTTTGATTTTGTTCTAGTGGTTAACATGTATTTTTTGTACTAGTCCCAAATTGCTTTTATCACTTTGGCTCTGTGGTATATTTTGAGGTCTGAAATGGTAATTTCTATGGCACTGCTCTTTTTGTACAGGCTCGTTTTGGTTATACTGGGGTCTCTTGTGGATCCATACGGATTTTAAGAAATAGTTTTTATGATGAACTAAATGAGGATTTTGACTGGAACAACATTGAATCTACAGATGGGTTTTGGTAGAATAGTCATTGTTATAGTATTAATTCTACCAATTCATGACCATAGGTTGTCTTTCCATTTTCTAGTGTTTTTCTCTATCTCTTTTAGAGATTTAAAGCTTCCATTGTAGAGTTCTATCACCCTTTGGGTTAGGTCAATCCTAGCTATCCTGCATAGATACTTAAGGCGTGTTTTATAGAAGTTTTTATTGGTCATAATTGAGGCTCTCTTGTAACTGCTGTGCTGGGAATGAAACGGGGCACAGAAGAGTGTGCATAGTCCAAACATCTGAAACCAGAACTCACAGCACATCCTTCCTCTGAGAAGTCTAGCCACTCTGACAGTCTTCACAGCTTTGCCTTTCTGGACATGAAGTTCATGAGTGCATTTGTGCACTCCTCTGACATCCCCCTTTCCTGGGCTACAGAACACTCTTCAGCATTAACAGTATGTAGCTTTTCTTTTTCATGTTTTCTGATTAACTCTCTGGAAACTCTCATCGCCTGATGAAACAGAAGTGACAATAATGTCAAAAGTTATTCAGACAGTAATGATATTACGATATTACATTATTCCTTTTTGTTTTTGAGGCAGGGTCTCAGTATGTGACCTTGGCCAGTCAGGAGCACACTGTGTAGACCAGGCTGGCTCCAAACTCATAGAGATCCACCTTCCTCTCCTTGTCAAGTGTTGGGCTTAAAGGTGTACATGTCTATTCCTGGCAAATTCTACTTTTTTAAAATGTTTATTTGTGTGTATGGGTGTTTTGTCTGCTTCTGTGTCTGTACACTATGCGCATGCTGTGCCTACAGTGGCCAGAAGAGTAATGGTTCTGGAGTTACAGATGGTGAGCTACTCTGTGAATGCTAGAAATTAAATATGGTTCTCTGGAATAGCAGCTGGTGCTCTTGGCTGCTCAGCCATTGGGTGCTCAGCCATCTGTCCAACCCTCAAGATATATGTTATTATTTACTTCCTCTGCTTTAATAAACAGATCTTGTTAAATCTTTGTGAGACATATGTAATAGGACACACTGCTTCCCAACTAGTAGCGATCACTACAGTGAGTGTGAGGCAGGTCTGTCATTGTACCTTCTAAACAGCCCCATATGGATACAAAAGCCCCTGCTTCCAGAATCACATACTCAACAGCAAGAATGTAAGAGCTGCTAGATGCCACATACACAAACGGAAGTGCTATAGAGAGGATCTCCTAAGTATAGACAGCCTCCTCACCTCCCACCTGAGTTCCAAAGTAAAAGAGCTGGGTGTCTACTGGCATCCTCCTGGGGTCATTCCCATGAAGGACCTCCCCTTTGCCTTTGTAGCATAGAATGAAATGTCTATCTGGTAAGTTCTTTCAAAAATCAAATTCCTAACATAATAGTAATTTTAAACTCCAAATCCAGAAGTGCTTTAAGCCACCTAGAGATTGGTCATGTCTTGTTAGAATGTGTTCTCCTGAGACACATTTTCCCCTTTGGAAATAGTTTTCCTGGTCCCCAAAAGTAAAACCCAGATACTAACGTTTGTTGGGAGCTTCGCATATGTTTTCAGCCTGGTCCAGACTTCTGTCTCAAAGGTGCTTTCAGGGAAAACTTCAGTGACAAGGCCTTGAGCACAAGCCTCTCTTGCTGTGAGCTTCTTCCCAAAGAGAAGCATCTCAGCTGCCTGCAACGCAAAGCAAGATGTGACCCCCTAGCTTCATAAAGCAAAGCTTCGGTTGACTTCAGAAGAGCCATCTTTTGGGAGACACAGATGTACTCATGGCTCCCGGGGCTGCTTATCTACTGCAGAAATAGGGAAGCTGATGGCCTTACTGGACAAGGGTCTGCAAACAGCTGAGATCATAACTGTTTTTTTTTCCTTGAGGGGCCAGAAGGGAAACAGCAAGAATGGGAAGCCCAGGACAGAAATGAACTGAACCCCTAGTAGCTATGGTTTTCTGTTTGTACTGTAAATGATAACAAGGTGGGATGGGATGGAGGTGTGGAGAAAAATTATGGCCACAGGGTTAATTTGGGAATATTCAAAAGTCCCTTGTCTGGCTGTTTTTCCTAGTGTTGAGCTCTAAGCATATGACTGAAGAGGTACAGGGGTGGCTTCTATTACAGTTTTTATAGAAATATAAAAACTGAGGCTGATGAGCAAATGTCTCTACAGCTACAATTTCTCTTTTAGAAACATAAACACATTCCAAGGTCTTGTGCTGCCACCAGCGCTCCAGCTCTAGGTCAGCAGCTGTCAGACACTGTCCCTGCAGGAGGAATTACAGAGAATGTCCCGGATCCTTCCCTTACCTCAGATAGCCCCTTAGCCTGGTTCCTCCTTGTCATAGAACAAGTAATCATCCTTTAAGCTTTGCCCAAGGAAAGAAGACAGAGTACAGGATTGCCTTGACAACAAAGATGACACACTACATTTTAAGTTTATTCTAAGTTACCTTTGCTGAGCCCATTATCTTCGGAAAAGTGTAAGAGGAGCAGGCTTCCACAGTCTGGCCTAGATGGGTGAATGGAGTATGGAACGTAGCCTAGTTGAGGTGGGGTAAGAAAAGGAAATCATTTTTGAGTGATTATTTTAACTTTACAATTTGTGTATGTGAGTACGCATGCGCACACATGCGCATATGTAGCCTAGACTCTCACCATTCCTACTACAGCCTCTCAAGTGCTAGAATTAACAGGAATGGATTACTATGCCATCTCACTGTCCTTCTCTTTATACTTCCTTTTATTTTAGGTGCATGGCTGTTTTGCCTGCATGTACTTTAGTGCACCACATATATGCAGTGACCAAGGAGGCCATAAGAAGGCGCCAGATCCCCTGTGGCTGGAGTTACAGATAGATGGTTGTGAGGCACCATGGGAATGCTCAGAATTGAACCCAGATCCTCTAGAGGAGTAGCCAACTCTCTGTGGTAGTTCACGAGTGTGAAAGGATAAAGATATTTAAACTAATATTATGTATTATTCTGTATATATATAATTCACTTACTGTGTTTTATCGTTATATTATAAAAAGAAAACTATATAGTCATCACCAACTCCATTATCTTCTAACTGGAAAGTCCCCTTATGGCCTCTGGGGGCAATCCTTTCTTTCTATTGTCTACACGCATCCCTATCTTCTCTCTATCCCTGCTACTTCTCCCTGTTCTAGAATATTACACTCATGGAATCCTATATTCAACAGACCTTTGCTCCTTGCTCCTGTCACTTAGGTTTGGGAGTCACCCAGGAGGTGGTGGGTGCTAGTAGCCTTTTTGTTGTTGCTGTTACTGTTGCTGTGTGGTTGTGTCATCATTTTCTGATCTACATGCACCGTTTCCCCTTTTGTGGCCATTATCAGTTAAGAGCCATAGACTTGCTGGATATAATACATACAATCACCACTTGTCAATAATACCTCAATGAAACTGACAAACAAATTTTTTTCCTATTGAGTAAAAAAAGTAGTTGTGAATACTTCTGTTCAGGTGTCCTGTTGGATGTACACTTTCTTTCTTTAAATAATTTTTTAAAGATATTTATTTTATGTATGTGAGTACCTTACAGATGGTTGTGAGCCACCATGTGGTTCCTGGGAACTGAACTCAGGACCTCTGGAAGAACAGCCAGTGCTCTTAACTGCTGAGCTAGCTCTCCAACCCAGATATACACTCTCAATTCTCATGGGTAACTACCTCCGAGTGGAATCACTGGTTGTGAGAAATGTATGTGCTTTTCTTAAAGAAGTTGCTGACCTCTTCCCCAGAGGGACTGCCATGGACACCCCACACTGAGGAAGAAGAGCCTGCTGGCTCCATGTCTTTGCTCAGCTTACTGGCCTACTCACATCACTATGTGCACGGTGGTGCCTCCTATTTCAGTTTATATGACCTTTATGATATCACTATGATATCGTTATGACTAATGATGATTAGAATATTTTTGTATACTTAATAGTCATGGGAATAGCATCTTTAGTGAAACATGCTAGTATGTTTCCCACTATTTTTAAAGTTGAATTATTTGCCTTCTTTTTCTCGAATTCCTTACAGACACAGGTTACAAGTAAGTATCATAGAAAGAATTTTTTGCTGTCTGTGGCTTATGTTTCCCTTTAAATAAAAATAATATTTGGATAAAGCGTCTTGCTGTCTAGCACAGTCTTAGAACAGTTCTTTGGCCTCAGTCTCCCAGAAGAGTACTGGAATTACAGGTATAAGCAGCCATACCCCACTGGCTTCTTTTCTGCATGGGGAGGGGTAGAGGTAAGGAAGGGTGTAGAAGAGCATCTCACGTACAATGGACTTGAGCTTGCTATGTGGCCAAAGATGCCCAACTCCTGAGCCTGTATCCTCTCTACTTCCTGAGTACTAGGATTGCTCCCATATACCATTATAGACAGCATCTACATCCAGTTCAAATATACTACATCTATCTATCTATCATCTATTATCTATCTATCTATCTATCTATCTATCTATCTATCTATCTATCTATTATCTATCTATCTATCTATCTATCTATCTATTATCTATCTATCTATCTATCTATCATCTATCTACCTATCTATCTATCTATCATCTATCTATTATCTATCTATCATCTATCTACTATCTATCTATCTATCATCTATCTATCATCTATCTATCATCTATCTATCTATCTATTATCTATCTATCTATCTATCTATTATCTATCTATCTACCTACTATCTATCTATCTATCTATCATCTATCATCTATCTATCTATCTATCATCTATCTACTATCTATCATCTATCTATCTATTATCTATTATCTATCTATTATCTATCTATCTATCATCTATTATCTATCTATCTATCATCTATCTACCTACTATCTATCTATCTATCT